TCTTAAAATTGTGTGCTTTTTTTTTAAAAATTTATTCTTTAAATGTTTTATATATTTTTAAATTTTTTTAATTTGATGAAATGTGTTAAATTTAAGATATACATATATTATTTTTGTGATTTACCTGTTTAAAAAGTGCAATTGAGTAATTAACCAACAATTTTTAACCATGTATTAGTATTACTCGATTTTTATTTTACGTTATAATTTCTTTCTATTGTTTAAAGTTAAATTTTTCCGATGAAAATTTGAACTTTAAGTAATTAGCATATAGTTATATTTCTTAAATGTAATCAAGTAGTTTACTAAAATTTTTAATATGTATATCAATCTTAAAATACATAGTCAAACGTTTACTTATAAAATTTAGAATGAAGTTATTTAAATACGGTGTAAAATGAAAATAAGTATATAAATTAAAGAAATGTTTATACCTATTTTTATATATCAGTTATAAAATGTAGATTCTGTTGATGATAAAAAAGTGAAATTAAAAAAAGTTGATATTAAGAATTTAATTTATTGATATTAATCAATCATTGGTAGTTTAGAAACGGAAATAAAGAAAAATAATTCAATTTTTATTTTTCCAACAGGATTCTTTTACTTAGAAAATAATGTATCAAACTATGCAACATTTACAACGGTGTTCATTTTTAAATATCATCTTAATTCATGTCAAACCTGATATTGTATATATATATATTTATGTTATTAATTTCTATTGTAAGTCAATAAATTTTAACTATTTATTATTAAACCATTAAATAAATGGTCAATATATTTATGTTAGAAATCAATAGGTAGGTACAATGTTTGGTTATTAAATAATTCGTTAAAACTATGTAATTATTAAATGTAATATGAAAATATTTTGAGTACATAATATTAATGTATTTATTCGTATAGCATTATCATTAATAACTATTAAGTTAACATTTAGTACTTTGTTCGGTTAATAAATAACTGGGATGGTTCTATAAAACTTGGTAACTTGCCTAACTGATAATTATAACGTGATAATTCTCAAACCATTTTTTGACGTGTTGCCAACATAATTTTGTGTACTGGTGGCTTTATTGTGAATAGAAAAATCGTACGTAGTATAATATATTTGCCGTTTTGATACCACTGATTATATTATTTATACGCTATATTTCTATTTTTGGAAAAAATTATATTATATAAAACCCCCAACTAGAATTATTACTCTACACCGTATTGTATATTATGTTGTACAAATTTTTTTTTTTTTTTTTGAATCTTTCACCACATACGAGGTATGAATGTCGATTGTCAGAAATTTTGGTTGTAGATATTTTGTTAAATAATAGTATATACTGTATTATTATAGCTGTATTATAGAATTTTCGTTTGATGGTCGTATATCATTTAAATAACTCCTAACTATGTAACCAGTGGTTTTGTTTTTTGTTTTAGTCCGGAAACATTGAAAAGGTGGATCTCTTGAGGCGTGTTTTGTTTGTTAGCCGAATTTGCACCTCCGACAAAAACTTAATGAAACAATTCACTGTGTCCAGGAAACGGCTAGTATATACAGTACCTGTGATTATGTCTGAAACCCGCCTACTATATTTTTCTTTGCCCTTATGCCACTGTTTGTATATAGTGTTCATATTGACAAAAAGGAAACGATACGGGCCGCGGAAACTCTGAAATGTTAAAACTGCAGTAAAAGTACACGTACACACACTCATATTTATATAATATATGTGTGCGTGTGTATGCGTATGTGTCTGCGCGCGCGTACAAGATATTGGTGGGACGTGGGTGATTTATTCGGTGCGAAGAATTTTCATTTCTAGCATCCTTCTTGTGTCGGTAAAAAAGCGAATCAAAAGGGCGATGGCCGATTGTTTTCGAAACAATTCAAAAACATTTTTTACGCGCCATCATCCATGAAATGCATAATGACTCGAGTATGCTTCATATTATTTCTAATACACCTCATGTATATATTTTTATTTATAAATCTGTATACTATAAAATATTAAAATGCTGCAGGTTAATAATATTTAAGTGTAACATACTAAAATTGTTTTTACATACGTGGCCAATACTTGCAATGTATCTGCGCGTACACATATTGTACGAATAGGTATATATTATCTCGTGTTTGTTACTCGTTGCGACGCTGTCGTCGTTTGTACATATTATGGTCGTCGCGTGCGTTCTGTTTGTTCAAACGCTGTTGTGCATGGGAAATAAATCGTTAAATTAATACTTCTACCATTCTCATGTGGACAATAATAAAAAATGAAAATAAATTATCTATGCGGCATTGCACTTGATCGAAAACAATCGCGGAATTGACATAATATAGACTATACTAACATTATGTGTTGTTGTAGAAAAGATCTCGGTCAAAGTTGAAATTTTTGGACGTCGTTGTTTTTCATACAAACCGCTGAATTAGTTAACTGAAAAAGTATATGCACTGTACATCTGTACACGATATGAATATGTGATGATAATTATTAGCTGACAAAAAAACAAAAACCTTTTTAAATTTTCCTGTTTCTTGCAAGTTCTCTGCAGCTTGCAAAGTCATATACGGTACGTATGTATTTATATACACTGTGCTTGTGAAAGTTTAGAAATAAAAATGGCTGGTTAAAGAAAAAGCTCATTTCGCTAATGATGACACCGTTGCCCTCGTCTACATTACGGCCATTCCATAATTACACAACATACACACACACACAGAAACGCGCGGACTGACGGACGGACGTGCACAAATATATATCATACATATTATTCACATACGTATAATTATTATTTATATAGAAGTCTTGCTTTGGGCGTATCATATTTTTTATATTAATTATTTTTTTAATTTATCAATTTTTATCCTTAAAAAATTATTTGTTGTATTTTGACGAATGTTAAACGTATGAGTGTATTATAAAACGCGCTTTTATCTAATATCTGCATTTAAGCAATTAGTATAATTGTAGAAAATTATATTCGATACATATTAATTTATTACCTATATGTATTTGTGATTTATTGTTTGTGATGTAGTCGAATGCAATTAAGCTAGCTCTCTTTTTTCTAATTTTGGTCGATACTGTACAGAAGAAATTTTTTATAACAAATATTTTCTATTTACCAACAATTTATTATTCGATTTCACATGAAATACATATTTCTCATAGTGTAGATCGTTTGCATTTGTATTATTTTTAAGTACATGTGTGTATTGTTCTTGTTGCAATAATGTGACTATAGCCTACAAAAGTAATATGTTAAAAAAAAAAAAATCAATTTCCACTACAACAGAATTTTTATTGCTTTTCTTTAAAACGTTAAACTTTTCAAACGATGTTACCAACCTAAATCCGTTGGATGTTACTCTAGTACCATAGTATGTAAATGCATAGTATATTATGTGTATAAATGTACTTTTATAATAACACACTTGCACACACGTGTTACTTCGACCGAGTTGTTGGTATTATCCTTGAAACAATGAGGCCTAAGTTCAATCGTGCGCGGATTCAGTAACCGCAAACTAGAGATGAATAGATTGAGATAACTATAGCGTATGGTTTGTATTCTCTTTCGAAACATTCGTATTGTTGTTTCTATCAGCAGTTATGCCTTTCCACACACACACATAGCCGATGTGAACGTCTGGGACATGACGGCCGTCACGACCACTGTGAATGACCAGTCACGAATTTCTCCACCTCCTCTATATGCAACAATACACTATTTTTTTATTTTTTCATAGATAATAAATTACGGTTAAATGTGAAACACGGTTTAATCGGTTGATAATAACTGAAGTTTCAAGATTGTCATTTAATTACGATTGTCTCTTTGCAAATATAGTTTTAACTATTTTCAAGTTATTTAATTTTTATAGTATCGCATCTTTAAAATTGCCTATAAAAAATAAATAAATATAAAATATAGGTACCCATATATTACTTTAATAATAATGACTAGTGATATCATATGTTGCTTTTGTAACAATTGTAAAAATATAATTTTTCAATACTAAAATTATTGTTATGTTATGTGCTATTTGAACATTTTAATTATTCTAGAAATCTAACTGTCTACAAAAATCATGATATATATAAGTATAAATTCATGATTTATAATTTCAGTATGTTTTTTACTGTTATTAAATTCAATTTTCATTAATTAATGATACTGTACATGAGTATAATTTTGATTAATTTACTATAAATGTATGGTACATCATGCCTAGTAAAAATAAATTTATAAAACCATATGGAAGAAGAAAAAAATATCTAACTTTTTAGATCTTGTTGGTTTTAATTGATTTTGGTGTTATAACACTGGTATATTTTTAAGGTATATTATTTTTACAATTATAAGTTATATTTTGTACATTGCTTTTTATTTTATTTTAATAGCATATTTTTTTATGTACTACTAAAAGTTACTGATTATAGTTCATATGACTACACTGTCTGTCAACAAAAACTATATACGCCTCTGGAATCCACGAAACGGTTAAAATACAACCAACATTAACACCACTCGCATCCGTGTTTCTACATTATTATTGAATTGTATTGATTAAAACATATTATTATAATATTTAATATCGAGTTTTTTAATATTTACCATTTTTCATAGTTTTTTTGTCATTTTGAGTAACCAAAAATGTTATTTTTTTTATACATTTCAAAAACGTGATGTTACGTTCAAAAACGAGAAAGATGTCTCTTTCTCTCTCTCATAGGTTTTATCACTTCACTACATTGAAGTATCGATTATTATTCAATTTAGACAGGCGTAATAACGACGAGCATATTATCGTAATGTATTGCCAGATTAGATTTATCTGCTGAACTGGATGTGTGCAGTTTAAATAATACAGATGCATTTTTAAATTAAACTATATTTATATATTGTCTCTACTATACCTATATGTGCCACCGTGTTATTTATTAGGTATTTTTCTAATGTGTTTTGTTTGTTTTGTTTGTTTCAGGTTTGTACATTTGAATTTGAATTAATAAAGACTTCTTTTGTGTAAGTTACTCTAATAAATTTCTTTAATAATAATGTTTCTATGTATATAATGGTTTTTTTTTAAAAATTGTATAATTTGGATTCTATTTTATTTTATCATATTTTAGTTATTTATCAGTTGCAGTTTTTTAACTAAAGACCGGATTTAATAGATATTGCAACTTTTTATTGATACCAGCTAAATAAAATCTGACTAAATATGTTTGCGAATAGGATTAATCACAATATTCTTATTTAATTTAATAATGATATTTTTTGCATTTTTCAACGCCTTTGCAATTATTGTAATTTTTGTATACTTCACGTGATAAAATATACTAATTATAATTTCTAAAGTAATTTTACAATAAAAATATAACTACGACATAAATTTTGTAAATGTAGTTAAATGTAGTTTAGCATTTTTAAAATTATATTTATCTGAGTTATCCACAAAACTCACAAGTTTAGAAGTATCAAAAAGCCAATTACTTAATAGTTTAAACATATTTAGTGAAATTGAAAATATTTTTATCTTTTTGTGCAATTTTTATATATTTTTAACGCAATTGTATTCGGTCTTTACTTATAAATATTATTTTGTATATATGTATTTGTATGTTAAAGAGTATAGAAAGCATGAGTAAATAATCTGAGGGTACTATTTGTATAATACATCAGTCATTTAACTGATTAGTATAACACACATATAAAGTTTTTGATTTGTGTAATCATTAAAGTAATGACTATTGATGATAATAACTTAATTTTAAGATAATTGAAAAAAAAATTAAGACAATCAATTTTTATACATTTTATTCTTATAGTTTATAAGTTATAACCAAGGCTCGGAACTTTATGCGCTAAAAAGTTCTCAAATATGCGCATACATATGCGTCAAAAAACATCATAATATGCGGTAAAATATGCAGTAAAAATTTGGAAAATATGCAAAAATATGCAATTTATTAAATAAAAAATAAATTTTATACACAAAGTTTGAAAATTAAAATTAAGTACATGAGAAAATAAAATTTAAAAAAACTAAACTTTTTGCACACTTGTTTGTATTGCTGTCTGCCTGTATGGATACTGTATATCTTCAAAAAACTTTAACCTTCTTGATTTCCTACTAAAAAAAATTAGAATTATTAAATGTTTAAACAATTAGATAGGTTATTTTTTACCCGTGTTGCACTGAAGAGGTGTTTCCTTATGTTCTCGAGTTTAAATGATCTCCGATTGTCCGTCAAGAGATTTTTATAAATCGAGAAAGATCTCTCCACATCAACCGATGTAATTGGAGCAAACTTGTAAAAACTTAAATCATTTGTGGTAAGATCTTCATGTAGATCATCCATGTTGTCACTTTCTCCTCCAATTATTTTTGATATCTGTTTTAGTATTTTTAATCCGCTGTTTTTGTTTAAAACCGTTTCAAATTTCTTATGCACTTTTTGCCCATCATAACCCTGAGCCATTTGTAACTGAACTTGAACTTTTTCCAGAATATCTAAGGATTCAGCTAAAGGCATATTTTTTCTTTGTAATTTTAAAATTGAATCTGAAAGTACTTTAAAATTTGATTTTATGTATACTAGATTACTTTTGACACATGTTTTTACCAAATTTTTTTTTGCTATTTTTATACTTAAAGCGTCTTCTGAGTCTAACATTTCTACAATTTCACAAATTTGTTTGTAATATTCGCAGTAATAAATGCTAGCATTTAGCCACGTGCCCCAGCGTGTGATAACTGGCTCTGGCGGTAAGGGAATATTCGGGGCATGTGTCTTGAATATCTGAACACGCGATGGCGATTTTTTAAAAATTTTTTTGACATTCGATATAATTTTATCGATTGTGCTAAATTGTCCACGTACCTCTTCAGCAGTCCTATGGAGACCATGCGCTGCGCACGTCACATGTACCATTTTTGAATATAACGCATTAAGTGATTTCCCACACTTAACCATATAAGGCGCCGCATCCGATAGAAATAATAACACGTCATCGTGTTTGATTCCGTCAGGCCACAAAATACTGAGCGATTTGTCGAAAAATTTGCATACGGTAGAGTGGTTTGTTTTTTCTAATGCGTCGGTATTTAATAAAAATATATCACCTGCTCTATCTTCTTCTAGAGTTCCTATTATGGCGTTTGCAATTTGTCTTCCCTCAGCGTCAGTCGTTTCATCGATCGATATCCAAATTTTTTTTAAAAACACACGTTGTCTTATGTTTTTCATCATTTCCTCGTAACAATCATCAAGATAAAACTTTCTAAGTGTCGATTCAGTGGGGACATCTTTTTGTGTGTATAGCTGTAAGAATTGACGAAACTCTGTATTTTGTAACTTGTTAAGCGGAATATTAGCTGATATAAAAGCTTTGCATAAATCCATATTAAAAGTCGATTTTTTCGACGTTTGATTTGTTAATAGCTGTTGGCTGTTGGCTGTTTTTTGATTTATTTTACGTTCTACAGCACGACGATGTTTTTCTGTTTTTATGTGCTGTGTAATACTAGATCGTCTTTCGGGATCCACTTTCACTTCGCAAAGTTTGCAAAATAGAACTACATTATCAATAGAGAATACATCTTCACCGAACTCAGAGCTTAAAGATTTAAGGCGTCGTGACAATGATTGCTTATCTTAAGGCATCGTTAAATCAGAAATATTAAAAAAATAAAATTATCACTGCGACATGCGACGGGCTTAATACTGACGACTGACTAATGTGCACTCGAAGTTCGCACTGTACACTGAAACCGGTACGCACGTAGACCGTAGTATTACAAGTTGTAATAATAATACTAATTTACAACGAACAGAATTAATATGGTGTATAAATACTGATAACGACCTAATGGTTAAACATAATTGTTTACAAATTTCCTAGGATTCATATATGAAATATATGAATGCCGTGTTAAATTTGGATAAAAATAAATACGGGCCGGCCGGTCGGCAGTAACTATTTCGAGTTCTCAGTACTAGAGATTATATAATATTATTGTTAAATGCATTGGGAGCAATATAAGAATATCTAACGACATATTTTTCGATAAATTTATTTTGTAAAATATCTAATTTTATTTTGTTAACTATAATTAAATTGTATAAATGTAAAAAAAAAATTGTTTTCGTTAAATCTATGAAATATGCATAAAAAAACGTTCTAAAACCTAAAATATGTAAATTCGTACAAAAAATGACGAAATATGCAAAATTATGCAACAAAAATTTTTATATTTGAAATATACGTAGTATGGATCAAATTTGTATCGAACCAGAAGTTCAATATGCACTTTCTAAACAAATATGCAAATGCCTAAAGTTCCGAGCCTTGGTTATAACTCATTACTTAGGACCAACTTGTATTCAATTTCACTCTTATACATATAAGATTATATAAGTATTATATTAGATGATTCTTACTAAAGTAAAATAGCATATAATATTGCCTGTTAAAAGTTTAAAACAGTTAAAATTATTATTTTATTTTGACTTAGAAATTTACTTGCGTTTACTGTTATTGGTTTTTAATTTTAAAAAGATAATGTGTATTTTTGTAAAAATATCGGGTACAGAATTGATATATTTTATGTACCTATTATAGGAATGTACCTATTCCATTTTAATTGCTTTATAATGCGTTTAGATATGAATAGATTTGTAAATAATCCATTGAAATATTATTTTTAATTAAAGTAATTAATATTTGATCATTCATTGAAACATAAGGCATGGAAATATTATTTTCATGTTTAATTTAAATATAAGATAAAAGTATATAACAAGTATATAACAAGTTTATCAATATATGAGCGGTGATGTATAAAATAGGAGAAATCAAGTGCAATTATAGTTATCATATCGAATAATATACTATTTAAATAAAAACCATTATAATTTATGAAATTTTGTAAAATGTTTTTAATTTTAAATATTTTTTATTTTTATGTATGGACATAATTGTACTCGTTAATTGTGTTCCAAACACATACAGTTTATTATATTTTTCGAATCTACATAATTGTGTAACTAGCAATTGTATTTTCATCTTAAAACGTTTTCATACGTATAAAAGCATTTGGTTGACTTGTAAAGGAAAACTTATTTTTATTATTAATGATAAATAATTAGTAACTTCAGATGCAATACAAATGTGGATGTAGATAGATATATACCCTTGCAGTTAGGGTTTAGATATTATGAATCACTGATCATGAACCACCGATGATACCATTGATATTTAAACATAAAAGTATTTCATAAAAATTAATTATTTAAATTTGAATATCGTGGTGTACAGTGTGATCACGGTTTCAGGTATAATTAAATATCCCAACTGGGTAACCTTGCATGGAAATAAATAAATCTGAAAGCTTAGGGGGTATTTCAATACACTTTTTGAAATTTTTCGAATTTTTAACCCTTACGGTATACACATGCCCAACACAAAATTTTTTTTCTAGGAAAACCCTTATTTTTTCTACATACATATTCGTATAGATTTTTATTTTCAAACAATTTTTGTAAAAAAAGTTTTTTTCTATTTTAAAAATTGACCAATAGTAAGTCAAGTTATGCATAATTTGTTTTTTTACAACATTTTTACTTAAAACACTAAATTATAAAAAATAGTGTCAAATAGTTGAAATTTATTTTTTATACGTGATATTTTTGTTATTAAAATAATAATTAACTAATTATAACAATATAATAATAACAGTAGCAGTATTAGTAGTAGTTATTTATAATGCAGAAAACAATTTATTCAGTAAATTTAGTTAATGAATTGTTTAAAATTTTCCTCGTTATATTCTAAACATGATTTCAGTCTACTCAATATGTAGTTCATGCTGGTCTTCTTTTAAAACGTCCCATACTGCCTGTATTTTGTCCTTATAAAAAAAAAAACCCCTAAAAACATTAAATTTGGAGTCCGTGCCGGCCAAAGATCATTGTTATAAATATTAATCTAGTGATTTGAAAATATTTGATTTACATATT